TAAAAAAGACAGATTTCATGGTGATACTCACCCAAGACAAATATTATCTCACCAAGGACTTATCTTCTGTCTTTCAGTCTCTACTGTGAAGGGGTTGGACTAATTTTCTGGGTTTTTTTTTTTGTTTTTTTTTTTTTTAACGGTACCCTTACCACTTGTTTTGTGAAAACTTTTGCAGCTGTCAGGAGGTTTAACCCTTCCTCTCCAGCGTTTGAAATCTGTGATTCAATCAGGGAGAATAATATGGTCTGAAAAGATATGTAAGTCCGTTAGACAGTCTTGCTTCAAGCATTTTTTATTTTTTAATATAGCATACACTGCATATTATGGATCTTAAGTATATGCAATGATCCTTTTGTAATCAATTCATGATCCATGCTGTAAAATCATATATAATAACCTAACGGGTTATAATAGTAGCTTGTCACAGTAACTGTAAATGCCATTGAGAAACAACATAGCCAAATATAAAGGCTGTCAGGAAGTACCTTTACAAATTTTCTGATCCTTAGAATGTTTTCAGCTTACTTGTCATCTGTATTTTCTCAACTATAAAATCTAAAGCTTTAAAAGAAAATAGTGAAAATGCAGCTACACGAGCATGATCTGCTTAATGTCTTCTTAGGCTTGTGGCAGCTCACACGGAAACAAAACTAACCTTATCTCCAGCTGGACCTGGGTCTCCATGTCCATCCTAGTCCACCTATGCCAGCAGATGCAGTGCCCATCTTGCTGGAGGATGTCCTCTGAGGACCACCCTGGTGGAGATGTGGCCAGGGACTGTGAGAGGGAGAGCAAAAGCTCAGCAGAGCAGGGCAAGCCCCACAAATCACAGCACCTGCTCTTATTCCCAGCCCATCTACCCAAACCAGGACAAATGAGTCCCAAAGCAGCCCTGGTAGCAGACATTTCCAGCATCACTGTGCACAAGCCCTCACAACAGGAAGTTTGCACACTGCAAGGCTAAATGCAGGGACTGCTCCCACAGCCCAGCTCTATCATGGGAAATCCTCCACAGAACAAGGAGTTGGAGGTCCTACACCATGGTTCAAGCTCCCAGTACTGCACCAGGACTAAAACACAGACACAGTTGCTATAACAAAGTGCACATTGTCAAGAAAAAAAAAAGAAAAAAGAAAAAAAAAAAGAAAAGCAAGAGAGAAGTAAAAAGCAAGGGAATCCATAACTTGCAAATGTTTGTAAGATTTCAGTCTGTGGGCTCATCCCAAACTCCTGAGGATCTGAATCCTTCTACCTCTCCTCTCCCTACATATCAAAGCTTACCTCCCACCTCCAAGGGCTGTGCACACTTCCCAACTGAGCTCTTGACACAAGAGCCCCTCTGCTTCCAGAAACCAGGTGCACGAGAAGACAAAAGTGGAGGAGCTGCCATGCTGTGCTTTGGGTATGAGTCCTTAGCGTTGCAACAGGGCAGTAAGAGGCAGGAACCTATAGGGGATATACCAAATAAATATTCCAAATAAGAATTCATCTGTCTTTAACTATGAGGCACCTGTTCGTTCAGAGGATTAAGGCATATGTTTGTATCCCCCTGCACTGCTAGACTTCTTCTATGACTGTTGGCACAGAAATGCAGACTAGAATTTTCACCTTCAGATTGGAGCTATTTTTGTTGTATAAGTGAGAAAGCCCAGATTACAAACAGCAGCTAACAGTACAGAAGCACAATTTCCACTGTCAAATTAAAAAGAGTTTAGTCAGACATGACAAAAAGAATTTTCTGTGGGCTTCATAAACATGTTCAGAAGAGAAGATGGATTTTCAACAAACTGAAAAGGGACACATTAAAAGCAAATGTAATAAAGCTTTGCTGCTCCAGTACTGTATAGCACCCTGAAGGGATTTATCGTGTCACTGGGGTAGAGAGCACTGCTTCTCCTGAAGCGTTTCCATGGACAGCCCCAAGAAATCAAGCTGTGACACACATCTGGATAGCTCTGTACACAAATGGCGTTGCATTTAGAGATGAGGAGTTGGCAAGAAAAAAACAGTAGTCCATGCAATGCATGCATTTCTGCAAATTCTCAGTTCAGCAAGAACCACAAGTAGACTGAACAACTTTGGCAGCAAGTGATTTTTTTTCATGCCATAGGCCACCAGACATAAAACCTTACCTGGAGAACCATCTAAAGGACAGTTGGCTAATATTTTACCATTTTGTAAAAGCTGTCAAATCACAAATCTTAAAAAAAAACATGGAAGGAAATGTGAAACACTAGTAACATGGCATGATTTAATTTGCACTAAAATAACAGGTGAAAGAGTAATACATTCAGAGAAATCAGAAGAGCTTGAAAATTCATCAAGCTGGAAGTATTTAAGCATCTGGAAGAGTTATTCATACAAATTAGATGTTTCTTTTCTGTTTATCCCTAAAGGAAGAAAGGTTTCATAACTGTGGGAGAAGCTGTATTGCTCCAAGGCTGCAATACACATCTTTTTCAGTCTGTTTTGTGAGAGGAGTTCTAATTGATAGTGGGATGGGACTCTAGCCTGCTGTATGGAAAACTGCTTTAAGCGCTGTAAGTTATATAGTGTTGCAGTAAGATAAGGCTGCTCCTTGCAGGAAACCAAAGTTCACAGATTTCTATTGTTCTATTGGGTAAAATCTGTTTGTTAGAATATAATTTTTTTTTCCACTGAAACACAGAAGGACCAGACAGTTAGAAGCTGTCTTTTTGTTTGTGAGATCTTTTTTCGGGCTTTTCAGGGTTGGAAAGAATAAAAAGTCATTTATTCTTGGCTACCTTTCTGGGGCCACACACACACTCTGCCTGTCTAGTTGCCTGCTCGCTTTGTGCTTCTTTCCACCCACAAGCTAAAGCAGAGCTTCAACCAATTCAATGCCCCATTTCCTGGGTTTGCAACCAATTTCGGGTGAAACCCCTCTAGCCACATGGCCGAGCTTCCAATCCAGCCTTCCTATATTGTGTTGCACCTTGGGCAGTGGCTCGTCTTGTTTCAATTACCACTAAACAAATGAGGCTTTAATTCTTCTTTCATTTCATTAGAAAAAAAGACGATCACCACGCCCTTCCACTTCAGTGTGGTCTGTGACTGTCCAGACTTCACACTTGCAGGCAGCCACCAGTCCTGTCCAACAACACAATATGCCTCTTGCATATTCGTGTCAGCCAGACCAAGGACAGATGTTTCTCTGGTTTGACTGCACTTTTGGCCTGGACTGATGAGCCATTATAGGGCAGAATGGTCAATATGTGATACTGCCATCTCCTTTGCCTTGACATAGCTTTCTGATTGAAAATTATCTAATTTGTTTTAATTTGAAACATGGGAGTGTGCACGTTCCATCTCAAACTTTGAACAGAAATATTTTCATTTCAAACTAAAGAATACATGCAATTGGTGTCACTAACTGGGAGATCCATGTGGGCTTATTTCATTTTTCAGATTAATACAGAAATAAATTTGATGGCAGTGGTTAAAAAAATATTCTTTATTTTACAAGCTTAATATGGTTTTAATATGCTGGTATGTTGTTAATGATGCATAACATATTTTCGTTCATCAGAGTCAGAAAATGGAATTGCAGTGGAGTAATTTGCTGTTTTCTCACTGAGAAGTGGGAAGAGTGCACTCTGTGGAGTATATGAATTACTCAGAGAATCACAGAATGGTTGAGATGGGAAAGGACCTCTGAAGGTCATCTTGTCCAACCCCCCTGCTCAAGTAGGGACACCTACAGCAGATTGCCCAAGGCCATGTCCAGATGGCTTTTAAATGTCTTCAAGGAGGGATACTCCACAACCTCTCTGGGCAACCTGTGCCAGTGTTTGACTGCCATCAATGTAAAAAGTGCAGGGCTTTTTTGTGTTCAGATGGAATTTCTTCTGATTTAATTTGTGCCGGCTACCTCTTGTTCTGGCACTGGGCACCACTGAAAAGAGCCTGGCTACCTCATCTTTTTTCCTTCCCATCAAGAATTGACATACATTAATAAGATCCCCCTTCTATTCTCCAGACTGAGCATTCCCAGCTCTCTGAGCCTCTCCTCATGTGAACCTCAGATGCTCAGGTCTCTCACTGATCTTAAAGGCCACTAGCTGGACCTCTCTCCAGTAAGTCTGTATCCTTCCTGTACTGGGGATCCCAGAACTGGACCCAGCACTCCAGCTCTGGCCTCATCAGGGCTGAGAACATGGGAAGGATCATCTCCCTGAACCTGCTGGCATCACTCTTCCCAGTGCAGCCCAGGATACCACTGGCCTTTGCAGCAGGGGCCAGTTGCTTCAATGAAGGCCACATAGCTGGCTGGTGATCAGCTGGTGATCATCAGAACCTCCAGGTCTTTCTCTGCAGAGTTGTCTTCCAGCTGATCAGCTCCCACTCTGTACTGAGATTGTTCAAGTCCAATTGCAACACTTTGCATTTCTCTTTGTTGAACTACACAAGAATCTTATCTGCCCATTTGTCCAATATGTCAAGGTCCCTCTGGATGGCAGCACAACCTTCTGGTGTATCTGCCATTCCTCCCAGCTTTGTTTCATCTGCAAATTTGCATTCTGCCACATCATCCAGATCATTAATAAGGAGGTTACACAGTATTGGCTCCAACACTGAACCCTTGTGCACATCTCTAGTGACTTGTCCCCTTGAACCCACTGCCCTTGATCACAACACTCTGGACCTGGTCATTCAAAGAGTTTTCAGTCCACCTCGCTGTCCACTTATCTAACCTGTACATCATCAGCTTATTTATGAGGGTCTTATAAAAAACAGTGTTAAATGACTTTCTAAAGTCAAGGTAAATAGCATCCACTGCTCTCCATTCATCCACTAAGCAAGTGACGTCATTGTAGAAGTCTGTCAGTCCACTTAAAATGTCAAACAGCATATTTCTTGCTATTCTTTCCAGGGGCCAAGCTATGGAGGCTGAAAAAGCACCATTTCATATGACAAGATCATAATTCACAATAATTTATTTAAAGTCTTTTCTGAACAATTTGATAGATATGCACTACGGATTGTTATTATTATAAAATTCATTGAAATTACTCACTAAATAAGGAGACAATCAATAAATAAGAAAAGCTCAGGAGACATGGCAATGGCTTTGTCATTTGCAATTTTTAAACAAAAAATGACATTTTCTTATCAACAGCGAAAAATTGCTCTTGTGACACGGGGAAAGAATGATGCTAAAATAAATTCCTTTCACTAAATGAAAATATGGTGTGAGATGAATTTAAGATTTTAAACAGCACAATGTGGACATGCAATTACAGTCATAGCTGGTTATAAATGACCAGTTATATCATCTGGTCAAGTCCCCTGCCAATGCTAAATTGAATTTTGCATGCATTATGTATATTTTTAGGCAGCCTGGACACCTTCAGTAAATGTGATAAACATATTTTTAAATAAAAGTTATTCTGTGGTGTCTCAGAAGTCTAGAGAAAGAGAGAAAGAAAAAGAGAGAGAGAAAGAGAGAGATAGAGAGAGAGGTGTCACCTCAAAATCCTCAGTGTTTCTACATCAGGTTAGTCTCATTTCAGCTTTACAAGAAAAAGCTGACAAGCTCTAAAAGAGGCCTCACTGCACAAAGAAATCAATGCTAAAGTGCACATTGATTTCAATAAATCTGTTTCAGTCCCCAGACCATGTATTTGCTGGGGCAGGGATGCTGCCTCTTTCTGTCTTTTTGTCTTTTAAACTCATGTCTGCTGATGATAGTATAAAAATGAAGCTGGGGATAGCTCTAATCTCAGATAATAATGGTCTCCAATTTGAAAGCAACCCTCAGGGGCTGACAAATTATAACAAACACTGCCCTGGTTCCCCTAACAAACCCCTATGATTTAAAATGACCAGGCAGGGGCAAAGCTGCTTCTATGGTGTAGTTTCATTTACTGGAAACAGAGCATTTAAACAAGTGCCCTTGGATTTTATTGTAAGCAGGTAAGTTGTCAGACCAGAAAACTTTTCAGGAACAGATTTTCACAGCACACAAGTGAGGATTGGTGCCACAGTGGAAGGTCTGCAAGATGCCTTTGGGGGCAGACGATGCCAATAGCCGATGTTGCCAGTTGATGTGCCTGCGACGGCGAGGATGCGGAGACCGTTCAGAAAGGTGCTTCTGCAAAGAAAAGACCATCTGCACAGTGTATTAGTGTAGTATTTATTAACCCTTTAATGTGAACACAAACTTAATTGTAAATCTGTACCTCTGGCCTCATCCTCAAAGCACTCCAACCCTCAGGGAGGGTTGGAGTTCTCCTTCAGAGTATGAAGTGGAGTGACCACCAGCCACTCCTCTCCCACCATCTGATCTCCTGGAAATGCCTTAATAAGCAATCACAGATGAAGAATTATTAATTAGGTTCATTTAAAGTCAAAAACCCACCACTGCCACACAAATGATATAGAGGACCCATAAAAGTTTGGATATATAAGGCCAGTCCACACTAGGAACTACTGGAATGTGTGGAAATAATGATCCTGTCTGATGTAAATGGCTCTTTAGAGTGATGCTGCAAATACTTCCCCTCATTCATCATCCCATGCTCACAAGGCCTGTGTTCTCCTCAGCCAGCCCTCTGCAACTTCCCACGATGACATCATGGTCAGAGACGAATGTCCTCTGTCACAAGGTTTCAACTTTTTATCACCTATTACCACGAATTGTCATGTCAGGTTTCCATAAATTAGGTTAACATTCTTCTAATGCAGTCCCTGAAAGGGATACTTAGCAGGGGAGTTTCAGAGACGGGTGCTTAGGATGGTAGTTTTAGTAAGGAGAGACTCCTATACAATGTGCTGAAAGCATTAACCACAACGTAAGCAAAAAAAAAGTGCTTCAGAGCTGTTACATCCTACTAAGTAGCGACATAACGAACGTATGTAAGCCACCTCCCAAAATGTGGCTTTGGAAATATGAGCAGAAAGTACCAGAGGAGGGTCAGCGTGATTTATTTCTGTTTTACCTGCCCCAGAACACCCTCATTTCCTGATTAACACAATGACTTGGCACAACTTGAAGCCCAGCAAGTCAGATTTCTCTCAGCAGACATCCTGATCACTCTGATGGATATTTTAGGAACTCACCATTAGTTCCTTTAATTAATGCCTCCCCAACAGGGACTGACGTGGCCTTTTCTCACATCAGCGGAACAAAATATGCTTCAGCCATTTTGTCCAATAAAGCAGGGCCAGGCAATTGCTTAGGAATTACCTGAAGCCAGTTCCCCTAAAGACCCAGGCACCTGCTACCACCCATGGCAGAGCACCAGCTTCCCCCAGGAGCCTTGCCACCCCTAGCACTCACTTTACAGCACTTTTGCTACACATTTGGTTCCTTCCCAGAGCCCACCTTGACCTTAGCACAGCTAAGAAACTCCTTATTCTATGGGATGCACTGTCAGTCTATTATGTGATAGCAATGTGTGGCACGACCAAAGCCACTTTGGTGCTCACAGCTTCACTCACCTTGCAGCCCTGCTCCTGCTGGGAAGCCTGGCCTCACCATTCTCAGCTGGAGCCACCTGATGCATTGGCCAAGGTCACATCCCAGCTCTCTCACCTCGTTATGTGCATCCTGACATAGACACAGGACTTTAGTTTCTGTGAATGCTTTGCCAAACAGCAAAAGAATGAAGTCAGAGTCTTTGAGACCATCCCCTCTTGCATATCAATTTGCAAAGCTGTAAAAGTCAATAACTGTACATAGATCCTCAGTTAAATAAAATAAAAAATAAAAATGCAAGCACCCAGGAAATTTGCTTGCCACACAAAAACTCCCTTCGATAGCAAAATGTTCTCGCTGAGCCAACCTAAGCATAACTTATCATAGAAAATTATCTTGTGTGCTGAACTAAAATTTCCCCGTCAGAACTTTAACCTTTGCCACTGGCAGCTGGCACACCGTGGCCCCCCCCCCCCCAGGAGCTCTCCCCCACGGGTATCCTTTGAACTCTTAAGACTACATGTGGTGGATCTCAGCAATTATTTGTGCTGCGGGCAAACTTCAGGCAGAGGTGCCAGCAGGAGCTGCGGGCCGCACGCCAAAGGACCGCACGCCACAGCCCTTCCTACTGCAGCCTGCACCGTGGCCTTTGGGACACAGCCCGTCTGTCCGTGTTGCTTGGCTCCGGGGCCTTCCCTGCCGCTGAGCAGAGGGATTTGCTGGGCGTTAAGCGTCGACTCTGCATAGCCAGCAGGCTTTCTAAATGCGGCGATTCTGGCTGCCTCCCACGGAGGATAAGTCAGCCTCGGCGTGACTTACAGACCTCGGCAGGGTCAGGTGTAATCTTGGTGTTAATGACTTAGGCATGACACCCAAAGCGGCTGGTCTGGGAACGCTCTTCTCCTCGTCTGGACATCTCACAATCGCTTTGCCCAAGACAAGTCAGCCGTGAGTGGTTTGGGTTCTTCCCCGCTGTGCTTTGGTCCAGGAAATTCTCACTTCTGTGTGGGTATCCTCTTCACCTCTAAATGTGGCTGAAGATGTCCCCTCCTGGGACAGCTGTTTTGCCAGAGCTGCAACCTCCTCCAAAATTTCAGGGTGGTTGCTCTCAAATCCAAGAGGGGATTCCCACTATCTGGAAACTGTCTTTAAACTCCAACCAGTGCAGCTGTATTCTTGTTTCTGTCCCTCAGTTCCCATACACTGTCCTTCTCTGTCTAAAACACACTTGTGCAAGTGCTACCTATAAATTGAACAGGAAAAAAAAAAATCAGAAACTGCAACGGGCTGTTGAGGGAAGGAGACTGAAAGGATGAAGTACTCAGGTTTTTTTGCGGGCAGCGTTGCCCAGGAAGCCCCGAGGCTGCTCACTCGGCCCTGTCCTCTAACTGTTGCACAGAAGTTTGCGGTTTCCCTGGGTCTGTCACGGAGTGCTGGCCCTGTGACATCCTGCCTGGGCTACCGCTGCCTTTTCGGGGCATTAGAGACCGTGCTCAGATGGTTCGGACCGGGTGGCAGCGCCTGCATCAGAGCCTCTCAGCGACTGCTGAGGCAGGGGGCTCCCCGTAAGCCCAACAGTACGAAGCGATGGCATAAAGTAACGTCACGGATCCGCTTTCAGCATTTTCCTTTTTCCCCAGAAAAGGGAAAAAAAAAAAAAACCCACCAAAAAACAGGGACGGTTGGAGGTTGGCAAGGGGAGCTGATGCCCCTCACGTCTCCTCACCTGCTCCGACCGCAGACCCGCGGGCAGAGGGGTCCCAGACCCCTCTGCCCACCTCCGCCCCCGCGGTTGCTCCGGGAGGGCGGAGGCGGAGCGGCGGCGGCTCCAATGGGGAGGAGCGGGGCGGGCCGAGCCAAGCCGTGCGGTGCTGTGCCGTGCTGGTCGCCGGAGTCTGGCGGGCGCTGCAGGTGGGAGCCCGGCTCCGCGACGGCGCGTAACTTCGGCGAGCTGGGGCTGTCCGCGCCAGCCTTCTCCGCAGAGAGCGGGAGGAGCCGCAGCGGCGGCGGAGAGCACCAACCGGGGCGTGCTTAGGTGAGGAGCTGCTGGCCCCGCTCCCCTCGCTTCCTCTGGTCGCTCTTGCTGCCGCCTGGCCCGGCGCGGTTCAGCGGGGCCCGCGGGTCGCGATGCGCTGCGGGATCGCCGAGCTGTCCTTGGCTTGAGGTCAGCGGGGAGGGCCGAGGGGCGTGCGCTGCCCCCGCGGGGCGCGCTGCTGCCGCACATCGCTGCGCGGGGAGGAAGGGCTGGGGGCGGCGGGGCTGCGGCGCGGGGGCGCCTTCTCGTCTGCTTCCATTCTCCTCTCCGCGTTTTTGCTTTTGGCCGTGTGGGCTGTCCCATGCCCCCGCTCGTCCCCGCCGTGGGTCGTTTCGGGGGTCCTCGGCCGCGGCTCGCCCCTGCCCCGGCGGCGGGGCGGACTTGCCGCCCGCGGCGCGGGATGCGCGGGGCCGGGCGGTGCGGTGCGGGAGTGCCGCAGGCGGGCTACAGCTCTTGCTGTAGCCTGTCACTCAGCTGCCCTTCCCGCCTTTCTGCCCCCCGCGGAAATTCCGCCTGGGCGCTGGGACGCGGCGGCGTCTGCAAAGTTACGGGCGGTGCGCGGCGGGGGCGCGGTGCGGGGGCGCGCAGGGGCCGCGCTGCGCCGCGCAAACTGGAGCGCGGCCGGGGGAGCATCCGCTGGTAAGCCTAGCCCGTGCTGATGGGCGCTGAAGCCAATTTTCGGGAAGGTTTAACGTAGGCTTGGGGCCAGTCCTGAGGAAGCCGCAAGGTTTTGCGGGCGGGCGGCAGGGTCAGTGCGGCTTTAGCATTAAAAATGTTTAATAGTGGATATTTATGAGGTGCCCCCCCCCCCCCCCCCCCATTTCTCTGCCTTTTCGGACGTTTAAAAAAAAACCCGAACTAGTCAGCTGGCGATATTTACATTTCTGTAGCAACAGCAGCTCATTAGAAAAGTGATAGTAGCAGGAAAATTAAAAGTAGTAGAGTAATAGAGACCCGGAGGTGGTTGCAGATAGCGCCGAGGGACCCGTAGTCCCCCGCTTCTCGGCAGTGGGCAGTGGCGTGAGGGGGCCAGGGGTGTTTGGGAGCCTGTGGGAATGTGGGGGGCTGGGAGCGCAGGGTGCAATGCAGAACTGGAAGCGCCGAAACTCTGCATTTTGTGCATAGTTCAATGCTGGGTGGCCATTTTTCTAATTTTTTCCGGACAGACTGTTAGACACACAAGATGCTCATTTGGGACTTGAAAAAACACCCACCCCCCCTCCACTATCCCTTTGCTAGGGCTGTTCCGATACTAAATGCTTGCATTTTTGTATTCTAAATGGGTGATCCTTCGTCAGGCTTTAAACCTCATTAAGATGTAGCTAACCATTTGTGAGGAGGATTTTTTTCCCCCCTTCTCTCTGTCTCTCTGGAGTTTGCTTGCTTGTTTCTCTCTTCTTTCCAGGGAAGGATTTAGTCCCTGGTGTGATGGCTGAAATGGTGGCACGCAATTCAGTGTGCTGCCAGATGCTTACCTTCTTTCAGAGTTTGGGATAGGCTCAGGCAGTATTAAAAGCTTGCTAAGAGGATACTGTTATATAGTTTCCTCCATTTTTGGGTTCTGTTAGAAGCAGTCTAAAAATACTGGATCATCATTTCCCTCATGTGTAACTACAGGACTTTCCAAGAAACATTCTTAGATACGTGCCTTTTTTTTTTTTTTCTCCTTTTAACCTTGCAAATTATTACTTTTGGTACCTAACAGGGAACTGCTGTGGTATCCTTGTTCTTGTAACTTGGAGGCATCACTATTGATTCTGAATCAAACAGTTTTTAATATCAAATTCTTCTTATGACACAGGGTTGAGTATTTTAACTTGCTGAAGAGATACCCCCCAACGTTCCTAGAAGCATCCAATTGTTGCCAAGTGCCATAAACATTTGCAATTAGTGCAAATCTGTCAAGAAAATGGCCTTTTTTTTGGCTTTTTTTTTTTTTTAATTGGGAAACAGATTATCAGTATCTCAGTACTATTCCTGTCCTTCCTGCAGCACCATTTATTTCAGCATATGACATTTATTTCAGAGGTAAATGTTATAGAAGTCCCTTGCTCAAATATTGGTTGCACATTACTGCCCAGAACTAGCTTAGGAAGGCACTTTACTATCTCACGCAACCTTATCTGCCATTCCACAACTTCATAATAGACCCATTGGAACATGAAATGACCTTGGAAAGGTATCTTTTAATCTGACACGAAGCATTCTCTTACGGGGAACAGCATTGCTCCACACAGAGCCGATGTTTTAAATTGATGCTTCTAAACTGATTTTTTTATATTTTTTTTTTTTTAAGAGGGGAGGGAAATGGGTGGAATATTGAATTTGAAAAGAAAATATTTTTTTAAAAACAAACCCACTCAGCTGAAGTTTGAAGCACCACTCAGCTGAAGAAGGAGGTGTATTAAGAATGTACATATGATAGTGACACTTAAGTCATGGGCGAAAACAAGACTTTAATTTTAATCAAAGGAAAACAGCATTTCCTCTGCCAGTTCTGATTTGCTCATTCATGAGATCTTCAAAAACCGAAATTATTAGTGGGACTAATTGAAAGCTAGTTGGGTGTGTTAAATGGAGAAAAGAAGTGATGAAGTCTGAAGGAAGCTTTACATTTAACTGTATTGTTCTTGACATCATAATGTGATGCTTCTACATCAAAAATGTTCCATGACCCTTCAGTCCACAAAATACTGCTCCTTTGGAAAGGTTGCAAGAGCTCTTGAGAATTAGCGGCAGTGAAGGGGGAGTTTTACAGCTGTTGAGGGAATTAATGGAGGGGATGCCTGGCCAGTAAGCTAAATGGGATTTTGGCCCAGATGCTGGACTTGACACATCAGGTATTGCAAAAGAGTGATGAATGCTTTCCTGCCCGTGGTGTCTTTACCTCCCATAACGGTGGTGCCTCCTGTTGAGCAGTGCCTGCTCCCAGCCTCCCACCACACTCCAGCCTCAGGAGCTCAGGTTATGAGTGCCACCTGCTGGGTGATGAGCCTCTTTATATTAATTATAGTTAATTTATATAGATGTATGTATGCATTTGTATGTGTTTACATACATATACTCTGTTTATGTGTATATTTATTTACATACAGGTGTATGGCTTTTTCATAGGTGTTCTTGGATGAACCTACGAAATGTTGCTAAGACCTGAAGTTCCTCACCTTCTGAAGGCTTACCACAGCTTGTGTTCGGTGACACTCAGATACCCCTGAAATATAAAGCCCAAGTGCTAAAGGGGAGATTTTTGTACTGCTGTTGATTAATGTTCCCTTTGCTTTACTGAAGGCAACCGTGAATTTTCAACTGTATAGCTCATTGCTTGTGATATGGTAAGCTTTCACAGGTGCTTCAATGGTCAGATAGCAGGCTGTGGAGGTAGGGCTGTAGACCTGAAATGGAGGCTGAACAAACCAAACTCATCTTTACGTTATGCATTGCTTAAATGGAAAATCTTCACAGCTTATTTCATAATTTTTCATATTAACTACCATATTTCCGAAAGTTTTATGAGCATCCCATCTTGATACAAAATATCCCTTCTCATTTAGATTAACTGAAGATGCACAGAATTTGCAGAATGTTCCTGGACAGTTTTTTCCATTTTAAAGAGCTCATTTTTTGTATTCACTTTTTAACGTTTGCAAAGAAGAGTAAAAATATAAAAGTTTGATTCTCACCTAGAATTGCTACTGGAGGTGGCATAAAATCTGGCATCATTCCCAACAATGTCTTTCCAATTTCCAGTAGTTTCCCTCTCTCCTAGACCACTGGAGCGTTGGCTGGAATGCCGTTTAAATACCAGTTTGATTCAACTGGATCCAGAGTGAAATCAGTTGCAGCACCAAGGCCTGTAGCTGTTCTGTGTTGTACTGACAGTATTGGGGAAAGATGCGTAGCCGTGGGTTTTGGTGTTTTGTTGGACAGCTAACCTCATTACTGCTTTATTGCTTATTTATTTCATGGTGTGCTGGTGCCAGATGAGTCTTTTACCCTGTCTGTGGATTAGGAATAGGTCGAAGCTGAACTATAAAAGTTTTGAGGAAACTTTCAGATGCTTTCGGCTGGAAAACCTATATTGATGTACTTTTGTGATAAATGGATAAAACGCTTTGCATGATTTTGAAAGCGTATTCCACCACTTGAGATCTGGACTCTGGAGAGTGCATAACAGTCAGGAATGAGTTGATGGAGCAAAAAGCAAGTAGTGCAATTGCGGAGTTCATCTTAAAGTGTGATTCTAGCAAAAGAAAAGAAAGTACCTGCCATATCAAGAGAGATTGCAGATAGGCTTTTGAGGAGGGGGACCCAGTAATAATACATAACTCAAGTTCACTGTCCCCTAAAACGTTCACAGTTAATTTGATGCTTGACAAATTGTGATTTCAGTGTCTGGTGAAGAAGCAATTGACCCTAAAATTGCTGCCTGAAGCTGAACCAATGTTTTCAGTTTCATAACAAGTGTCATGCAAAAATAGAATGTGAAGAGGAGCAGGGGGAACGCAAAATGCCTCTGTGGTCTTGCTCTTATGTATCTCTTTGCACCCTGACCCAAGCAACTGGCGGGTAGTGTAGGCAGTGGATGCTGCTGCAATGCTCAAGGCAATTTAAATCTCATCTGTTTGTCCATCCTATCATGGCATATCATGACTCTTTTTTCCCTCACAAACCTTCTGAGCTGATAATGTGCCAAATTTCAACAATCACACCTTCTCCTCGCTGAGAAATGTATATGCAGTATTGTCAATGGAAATGCTTCTCTCCTGTCTCCTCCCCAT